TCTACAAAAATCATTATAAAGTATTGAGCTTGGTCTACCACTGATTTGTTTTCCACCATATGCAAACGAAAAATTCTACTAGACGCATATTTTTTCGCTCCAACCTCTTCGGTATCATACTTGTTCTTCTATGCTTTCAAAATATTCTTTGCACTAGAGTAAGTTCTATCATAATAATCATAAAAATTATCAGACAATTAAGAATATAATATCGACACTTATAGGAATCACCATAATACTTTTCCACTTACTCTAGATGAGAAATGGTTTCATCATAATTTATAGAGGTGATGTCAACTTTATTGGGATTCTTCTTAGTGAACACATAAAAGACATTGAGAAGATATAGGATGTAAACATATACTGATATAGAAAGATAAGAGAAAGATAACAAGGTTAAATTACATGCTTTATTAAAATAATAACTGCAATATAAATACATGAATTCATAACTTAAATGGCTAACAAAAAGGAATAAAATAAGCTAATGTTATCTCCAATAACTAAAGCCTAAAATATAGCAACCGACTAAAAAGTTTTTTTCCAAAACTGCAGCCTTATTTATTTGAATCTAATCCTACTTTTAAGTTGTCTATTAATACATCAAAAAGGGGAATAATCTTCCAATTTTGAGGCACCACTTTCAACAGAAGACTAAAGTAGAAAACTATTGTACCCTTCCATCTCTTGAAATGATTACCGTTGAACTGAAATGCCTTGTTGAGATCTCTCATCTTGACATCCGCAGATTTTTCAATTGTATTCATTATGAATCTCCCTAAAATTATTAGTTTACAAGATTACAAATTACAGTTGAAAATAAAATGAAGAAATAAAAATATCTTTTGGATAAGGCGTGGATATCTCACTCTCTTTAAGTAGATTCAAGTCCACTGCATCAAATATTTTCACCGGACTAGCAGTAGTCCTTCTTGACTTCTCCCCTCCAGGATAAAATCGCCTATTCAAAAAGTGTAACTCAACAAACTCTGGACAACGGTTGTGATTAACGTTTCAAAGATACTTTAACCAATTCTAAGTGTCAACGATCGTTAGTCAGTATATAACCCAACAAGCTGAGTAGGGGTCGATCCCACAGAGAGTAACTTTCATTGAATTAAACTACTAAAGTATGACAATGACCTTTGCAGCTGAGCAACACAACAATTACGAGTTTCGCAGTCAAATTTAAAGATGTTGTTACTAACCCACATCAAATTATCAACAAGAAACAATCACATAACTAGAAAACACTTGGGGGGTTGATTAACCAATTGTCAAACTTAACTTAATGGGTGTATCTCATTATCGATAATGCTAATTCATCGCGGGTAAAGGGGACTACAAGTAAGGCAACTTTCTCTCGAACAATTATCTCATTTCTCTTGAGTTCTCTTGAACCTCAACACTATCTAAGAAATGAGCAGCCCACACTCTCATCAAATCCAGTCTCTCAAGCGGGATACAAAGGCTAGCTCTTGGGTTTCAGTTTCTCAAGCTGAAACCGTCAAGACCCACTACTAAGGATGCCAAATTACTACATTGGTTCTATACTCCTCTATTGAGCAGGCACAAAACTTTAAAATATATCACACTAAATATGCAATAAGAATGTTAAACCACCATAATAATGTAGACCTGCTTCAAATTAACACCAAAAATCACTAATCGATAACATCCATTTAGTAAAATTCAACAATTAGTCACACTGCCAAACCCCAAAGGTTAGGGTTTTATCCAATCATAGTGAAAAGATGAAATTAAATACCTGCCTCGTTGTCCATAGCTGTGTAAACGAAATTTGAAAGTTAAAATTAACTAAAATCTTCTCTATTACAAGAATCAAATGGGAAACCTTGCTAAAATAACTTGAAATCCACAAGGGTAGTGTATTTCTCTCAATCTTTTGTTCCTTACATTTCTGAATACTTTCTCTCTCTTGCAATAATCAATTTATTCAGGTCTGATGTGAGGCTTTTTGGGACTAATCTGCGAGGAAAGTCAGGTTTCGTTGACCGTTCGGCAACTCGCCGATTGTCCTTCGTCTCGACATCATTTTGCTTATCTTCTTAGTCCAGCCACTCTAACTTTAGGCGAGCCAGATCGAGATTGCCGTTTCATTTCGTGATTCACCTTTTTGCCTTTTAACTCACCCATCAACTCTCTTCTGGGTTTCCATCAGGACTTTTGGCGATGAGATCATCCTTTATCGATGTATTCGACGACTCGCCAAATGGAACTGCTTCTCGCCGAAATTACCCTAGTACAGTCTCAGGGTTCTATAACTTTAGGCGATAGAGGACCAACTACTAGATTCACTGAGTCAACTCGGCGATCACCAGGCTCACTTTTCTTTATTCTTTCAGCTTGCTTCTTTCCTCTTTGCCAAATATTATCCTTTTTTGTTCCTCAATGCATATACCTGGAAATCAAGGGTTTTACATCATTTATTAGCACAAACTAAGCAATTGAGGACACACAATCATTTTGAATTAAGCCCTAAATTAGTCCAATTCTCGGACTCATCAACACCCCTAACTTAAACTTTTGCTTGTCCTCAAGTAAAATTCAAGTGCAGCAGTTGAAAGAGGATGTCTCAAACAGTGCTGCACAAGACTCAATCATGAATGCACACAACAAAACTCAACTTACTTATCCAAGGATCAATTGTGCACTCACAGATTCAAGTTATGACTCACCATTATCAAAGATTCTCAAGTTCACAATACTTGTTTCAAATGCAAGTTCAAGCTCAACAAAGTTACTCAAATGCCCTCACTCAAAGAAAGATTCCATATTAACACACAATTGTTCAACAAATTATAGTTCCGGAATCACAAACAACTCTCACACTCACAAAAATGAACACATGCATGACTTCACCCATATGTTTGCCCTTATTTTCCAATCAACATTTGTTTCAACTCACTCAAGATCAAAAAGGTCATTTCAAGGCTTGTAACAGGTCTGAGTGTAAAGGTATGATTATTTAGGCTCAATGGCTATTATCCTCATGAAATGTGGTATCAACACCATTTACTTTCCTATTCTTCATCATTCTTATTCATGCTCAAAATTCACACCTTTATTCACTTTCCATGGAATACCGGACACCCCATTTATTTTGCAACTTTCACAACTTTATTCCACAACTTTTTTCATTCTTTTTCTTTTTCATTATTCTTTTTTTTTCTTGTATTGAGGGGTTCCATCTTTCTCAAAACCATGGGTCAAGGGGGACTTCTTTGCACTTCTTAATTTACCTTCCTTTCAGTACACCCCCAACGTAGTCTCTTGGCCTAAGTGGCTATTCAAACAAACCACATTTCATGAGGATTATGGGTGAAGGGATAAAAAAATGTCACAATTTCATCAAGTTTCTTCCAAGGAAAAAGGATAGGGCTGAAAGGGTGTTCAAGCAGAGTTCACACACTCACAAGGTAGGCCACAAAAGAGGTATAATGTCAAATTGTTTTACTCTTTAGAATTGTTGCCTAAGATCATTTCAAGGGTTTGCATCACTTAGTCAACCAGACCAACGGGGCAAATTTTAGGTGTCATTACACATGGTTCACGGTAAGCTCCTCACACAAGGAATTGGAACCAATATCAAACAAGACTCCACACTTTCTCTAGTGTGCAATATTCATCACAAGAGACTCAATTCGATAATCGGCTAGTCACTATGAGATGCAAAAGTTCACATATTGTCTATGCAACTTCATTTGGCCTCATCGTAGCGTACATTTATTTTTGTTCGATTAAGATCACTATTCAAGTCATCGGTATTGATCATGACCGATACTCAAATAAATAACTTATTCTGAACGAGCAAGGGACTCACTGCCCAAACACACACCAATACCAAAAGCATTCAACATTGTGCTCAATGTGATTAGAGAACAAACACTACTAAAACTAAAAAATTAAAATAAACTACTGATATATAAACAGACAAAGCAAATTCACAAGAAATCTTCAGTAGGCGCCCATTTGGCGAGAAGGTGTAACAGTCGCCGAACTACTTGGCGACTTGCCCAATGATCAGGATACCACCGTTATTTCCAGTGCGCACCATATTTAGGAAGGGGAAAAATGGAGGAGTTGAAAGAGAGCACAGAGCCGGTCGGTGTTTCGTATAATAGAGTTGCATTGTCGCCGAATGATCCATTGGGTTAGGCCATTTGAGCTGGGGCCAAAGGGTAGAGAAAATCAGGTCGCCCAATCACTTCGGTGAGTCACCGAGTGATGACAATTCCCTCCTAAAGTTCCAGTGTTGCAGCTCCATTTTAAAAGCCCAGAAGGTGGACTAGGTCGGGTTCACCAAACCGATTCGAGATCCACTAATGGTTTCGTCACCTCGCACAATTTCTTGCACCTGCAAAACTAGCGAACATTATTTGAAGTACTAACATTTGGGTTGCCCCCAAGAAGAGCCTTATTTAACATTATGGCATGACGTGGAAATGTTCTCAAGAATCTTCCAGATACACCACTTCAATCAGAGAAATCTCTTGACATTCGCCAAAATAAAACTTCAAGCATTGCCCATTCACTTTGATTGCATGTCCCTCTTTACCTTCGACTTCAATGGCACCATTTGTGAACTCCCGTGTTACTCTGAATGGACCTGACCATTTGGATTTGAGCTTTCCTGGAAAGAGCCTGAATCGAGAGTTATATAGCAAAACCCAATCTCCCACTCTGAACTCCCCCTTAAGGATTCTAGAATTATGTCACTTCTTCATCTTTTCCTTATATAGAGCTAAACTTTCATACACCCTGAACTTGAATTCGTCCAACTCATTTAGCTGTTATACTCTCTCTTTTGAAGTCTTTGTCCAGTCCAGATTTGGAGCGTTCTATGCCCATAATGCTTTGTTTTCTAATTCAACCGGTAAATGGCAAGCTAATTGGTGTTTTGTATGCATTGCGATATGCCCATAGAGCATCATCAAGCATTCGAGACCAATCAATCCTATTAGCATTTACCATCTGGGCTAGGATACTGTTGATCTCCCGATTCGACACTTTAACTTGGCCGCTTTTTGGGGATGATACGGAGTCGCCACTTTGTGTTTCACTCCATATTTGCTCAATGTGGATGCAAAATACTTTTTGCAAAAATTGGATCCCCCATCACTAATAATAGCCCGAGGAGTACCAAATCTAGCAAAGATGTAGCGTTTCAGGAATTGAACAACATTTTTCCCTTCATTGTTTGGAAGTGCAACAACCTCTACCCATTTAGAAACATAATCTACGGCCACCAAAATATACTTATTGCCAAACGAACTCATAAATGGGCCCATGAAATCTATTCCCCAAACATCAAATAGCTCAACTTCTAAAATGGGAATAAGAGGCAACTCGTGTCTTTTGGACACCCCACCTTGATTCTGATATTGAGTGCACTTCTTCACAAACTCATGAGTATATTTGTAGAGGGATGACCAGTAGAAGCCACTTTGAAGGACTTTAGCAGCTGTGTGTACACCACCGTGATAACCCCCAACCGGTGAAGCATGACAAGCATGGAGAATTTCGATGGCTTTTTCTTCCGTAACACATATCCTAATGATATGGTCTGCACACTCTCTGAATAAATATGGTTCATCCCAAAAGTACATCTTAACATCGAACAAGAACCTCTTTTGTTGGTAGAAGTAGGCATTAATCCACACACTACGTAATTGGCAAAATCAGCATAGCAAGGAGGTTGTTTGAGAGTTACTGTGAATACCTGTTCATCGGGAAAAGAATCATTTAAGTCGATCTCCAGCTCGTCATTTTCCTTGCCTTCCAATCTTGATAAGTGGTCAGCCACCTGATTTTCACAAACTCTCCTATCTTTGACTTCAAAGTCAACTTCTTGCTATAGTATCACCCACCTTATATATCTTGGCTTGGCATCCTTCTTTGCCATCAAATAACGCAGTGCAATATGATCAGTGTGAACAACCACTTCAATACCTAGAAAGTATGCCTGGAACTTCTCAAACACATAAATTACCACAAGTAACTCTTGTTCTGTAACTGTATAGTTACTTGAGCACTGTTTAGAGTTCTGCTTGCGTAGTAAATGGGGTGAAATAGTTTGTTGCGTTTTTGCCCCAATACAACACCTAATACTGTGCTGCTTGCATTACACATTACTTCGAAGGATTATGACCAATCGAGACTAATGATAACTGGGGTGCAGATCATTTTTTTAAAAAAGCACTTGAAATCCACCATGCAAGCATCATCAAAGTGGAATTTCACCTCCTTCTCCAAGAGTTTGCATAGAGGATGTGCAATCTTTGAGAAGTTTTTAATGAACCTCCGGTAAATGCCGGCATGTCCCAAGAAACTACGAATACCCTTCACCAAAATTGGTGGTGGTAACTTCTCAATCCCTTCAATCTTGTCTTTATCAACCTCCAGCCCCTTTTGCCACACTTTGTGACCAAGAATTATACCTTCCTTCACCATGAAATGGCATTTTTCCCAATTTAGGACAAAATTTGTTTCCACACATCTTTGGAGAACTTGTCCTAAGTGTGCTAAACAAGCTTAAAAAGTGTCACCCACAATCAAGAACTCATCCATGAATACCTCCATTGAATCCTCCAATATGTCAGCAAAAATAGATAACATGCAACGTTGAAAAGATGTCGGAGCATTATATAACTTGAACGACATTCGTTTGAAAGCCAACATTCCATATGGGAAGGTGAAGGTGATTTTCTCTTGGTCTTCCGGAACAATTGAGAATTGGTTATAACTGGAATACCCATCCAAAAAGCAATACCATCCTCTCTCTGAGAGTCAATCAAACATTTGATCTATGAAAGGCGTGGGAAAGTGATCCTTTTAAGTCTAGAAGATTAACTTTCGGTAATCCATGCATACTCTCCATCCGGTCACCGGTCTTATAAATACAAGCTCCCTCTATTCATTTGGGACTACTGTGATGCCTCCTTTTTTCAGTACACATTGTATCGGACTTACCCATTTGCTGTCCGCAATAGGGTGGATCACACCTGGATCCAACCACTTTATTATCTCTTTTTTCACCACCTCATGCATCGATGGGTTCAATCTCTACTGTTGTTCAACACTCGGGTTACAATCACTATCAAGCTGAATTTTGTGAGTGAAAATACTGGGTGGAATGCCCACTATGTCACTGATAGTCAAAATTGCAATTACAAGATGAATTAGGAGAAAAAGAAGAAAATAACCAAGATAATCTACCTGAAATAAGAGTTGATGAAATAAATAATGAAACATATACGGAACTTTTAGCAAACATAGATAATACAAAGAATTTAGAAGTAAATACAGAAGACATAGACATAGGCGAAAAACCTAGCACATCAGGAGTAAAAAACCCAAAAAATTTTAATCCAAAATATTATAATGAAAATTATGAACAATATGATAAAGAACCCAAAAAATTTTAATCCAAAATATTATAATGAAAATTATGAACAATATGATAAAGAAAAAATTGAGCTAATTGATAATAATAGTATAATAACCCAAAAACCATTAAAGTACAATTTTAATGATTTAACCGAATTTAAGATACATATAGACGAATTACTAGAAAAAGGGTATATACAAGAAAGCAATCTATGGATAATAAGAAACACGGTAAGAAACATACAAGTAGAAAATTAAGAAAAATAAGAAGAAAATTAAATAAATTATATCCGGAATATAAACAACTTAATATCACAAAGACTGATAATGAGAAATTAGATCAATTAATAAATAATATATCTAAAATAGAATATAAATATATTCAATACTTAAAAATACAATGAATAACAAGAATAGTGAATATAGACAAAAACTTAATGAAGTAATTATAGAAAAACGACAAGAATTAGAACATAGGCAAAATAGACTTAATAGTACTATATTTGCAAGAATTTGTCACAAATCTATAGTAGCACAAAGAAAGACTATTTTTTATCTAGAAATACAAATAAATAACTTAGAATATAAACTACAACATAATTTATAAATGAATAAAGAAGAATACGCAATAGATGAAAAAACATATGAAAATTATGACGGATTAAAAATAAAGATAATATTTTCTAATCTAGGAAGAAGATATAAGAAAATAGGTGACAATATAAGTTTAATGTTAGAAAAAGAAACGGTAAAACTAGAAGATAGTTTAACTGCTATGGTAAGAATAACAAAAGAAAATGAAGAAATAGATAGAAGAACGGAAATTGAAAAAATAAAACAACAAGCAAAAAAGGAAGTACAACAATTAGAAGAAGTAAAGAATACTAAAATAATAGAGCTAGAAAAAGAGCTAGCAATATTAAAAGAAATGTATGAAATTAAACAAAAAGAAAAAGAACAAAAAACAAAATTAGCAAATGAGATAATTAAAATTAAAGAAAAATTGCAATTACAAGATGAATTAGGAGAAAAAAGAGAAAAAGAAGAAAATGACCAAGATAATCTACCCGAAATAAGAGTTGATGAAATAAACGATGATGATCTAGAACAACATTCGGAAACAAGCGAAACATATACGGAACTTTTAGCAAACATAGATAATACAAAGAATTTAGAAGTAAATACAGAAGACGTAGACATAGGCGAAAAACCTAGCACATCAGGAGTAAAAAACCCAAAAAATGTTAATCCAAAATATTATAATGAAAATTATGAACAATATGATAAAGAAAAAACTACATGGGATAAAAGATTAAATAAAAAATGGACGCCTAAACCAATAACTGGACAACATGAATTTTTAGATTTAGACTGTGTAGCAGACATAAATAAAACAATCCAATTATGGGTAGGATACATATCAAAACAATTAATAGATAACAAGATAGTAATAGCAGAGGCACCAGGATACATAGAAAGAACACTTATAGGAACAGTAAAATTATGGCTACAAAATTTAACAAATGAAAGCTTAACAACTTTAAGAAATAATAAAAAATTTGATGGTGGAATAGCCACTACAACCATGGAAATACTATATAAATATGAAATAGCTATAAGAAATGAATTTAGTAGTATGACAACAGAGGTAGAAGAACAAAATAAAGAAAAAATCATAAATCGGAATCTAATGACAAAATTAGCAATATGTAATATGTGTTACATAGATGAATATATATGTGCATTTAGAGAATATTATTATAAAGGAACATATAGCATAGAAGAAAAGCATCAAGACGAAGAATATTTAGAACAGAAAATAATATTTGATAATAGTATATTTGAACAAATAAAAGGAAAAGAATTAGACCTAAGCGTAGCAAAAATATTCGAAATACCAACAATAAGAAACTGGTTTAAACGACAAAAAGAAGAATATTATGTAGTAAGTCAAAGAGAACATATCATAGATTGCAAATATACTAAAGGAAAGGCCAAAATACCAATAATAAATAAACGAATAATAAATAAAGAAATACAAGATATTAAGGCTAAAAATCCAATTAAATATGTACATTTAGGAGGAACAGAAATATTAATAAAAGCATGTTTTAGAGAAGGAATAGATACACCCATAGAAATATACTTAGCGGATGATAGAATTATACAACCCATAGAAAAAAGTGTAATAAGTGCAGTAAGAGGTAACCTCATATACCAAAAATTTAAATTTATAATAAGTGCTAATTACTCAGTAGCAATAAATGACAGAAATATAGATAAATCGTTAGTATTATATTGGAGAATGTCAGGAATAGAACTAGCCCCGGGAAGTAAAATATTTACAGCTAGATGCAAAAACTTATATGTTCTAACAACAAAACATAAAATAACAGCAAAAAATAAAATAGATAAAATAAAAATAGAAGATCCCTTTGAAAGAATAGTTACAGTCATAGATAAAAACGATTATAGTTATAATGAAATTGATATAGAAGAAGATTTAGAAATAGTAAAAGAAAGACTAGGCACATCGAAAAGAATAAACGATGAGATACCCCAAACATCATCAAAAATGAGTACCTCAAGAAGAATAGATAAAACCCCACAAAAATCAATAGAAGAAGATATAAAACCACATCATTACTACATAACGGGAATAATGGAACAACGAAAATATTTAATATTAATAGATACAGGACGAGAAGAAAACTATATTACAAGAGAATTAGTGACGAAAGATGAAATAATAACTATTGAACAATCATGCTCCGAACTACCAAAAGCATTAATGTATACCGAAGAAACTACGGAAAAGGAAATAATCATCGGAGGAGTACCAATAGTAATAAAATTCAAAATATATCAAGGAAATGAAAATATCATTTTAGGAATAAAATGGTTGGAACAAGTAAAACCATATAATCTAGAAGACAAACAGTTAACAATAAATTATGAAAATAAAAGAGTAATAATAAAAAGGACTTTGGTATGATAAAAATATGAAAATATATATACTTGCAAAGATAATAATAGAAGGATATTACAACCGATATTATACACCAATGATAGATACGGGAGCAGAAGCTAATATATGTAAATACAATTGTTTACCAGAAGATAAGTGGGAAAGACTAAAAACACCTATAGTAGTAACAGGATTTAATAATGAAGGAAGCATGATCACATATAAGGCAAAAAATATAAAAATACAAATATGGGATAAAATATTAACTATAGAAGAAATATATAACTTTGAATTAACTACAAAAGATATGCTATTAGGAATGCCATTTTTAGAAAAATTATACCCACATGTAATAACAAAAACACACTGGTGGTTTACAACACCGTGTAAACAAAAAATAGGAGCAAAAAGAGTAAATAATAAAAAACGAAAAACAACAGAATGGATAAAAGGAAGTGAAAAAATTACACAAAAATTAGAAAATATAAAAGAAGAAGACCCTAAAATAGAATTAATTATATTCTCTATAGATAAAGTAAAAATAATTCAAGATAAGTTAGAATTATTATATAGTGAGGATCCTTTACAAGGATGGGAAAAACATAAAACAAAAGTAAAAATTGAGCTAATTGATAATAACCCAAAAACCATTAAAGTACAATTTTAATGATTTAACCGAATTTAAGATACATATAGATGAATTACTAGAAAAAAGATATATACAAGAAAGCAATAGTAAGCATACAAGCCCGACATTTATCGTAAATAAACATAGTGAACAAAAAAGAGGAAAAAGTAGAATGGTTATTGATTATAGAAACTTAAATGCAAAAACTAAAACATATAATTATCCAATACCAAATAAAATACTAAAAATAAGACAAATACAAGGATATAATTATTTTAGCAAATTTGATTGTAAATCAGGATTTTATCACTTAAAACTAGAAGAAGAATCTAAAAAACTAACAGCATTCACTGTACCACAAGGATTTTATGAATGGAATGTATTACCATTTGGATATAAAAACGCACCAGGTAGATATCATCACTTTATGGACAATCACTTTAAACAAATAGAAAATTGTGTAGTGTA